GTTCTTCATTTGAATAAAAGCACCCGCTAAATGTAAAAATGTAAATAACAAATCACTTGCCATTTGCAAGTTTATTTTAGATTCAGGTTATCTTTATACTACCAGTCCAAAATATGGGCACACTTGACTTTTGCATTACATTTTTAAACCTTAAAATTCTAAAGCCACTTGCGTAAAGGTCTTGTACATAAATGTAAATTGAATTTTATTTTGCATGAATATGAATTGTATTTTTAGTGAAGGAAAAGCGTCACGTGATGCACCTCATGAAGCAGAGCTGGAATCTAGAGGAACAAGTCAAATGTAAGAGAGTTTGGTCACTAATTCTCATACTCCATCGTGTTTTTCATAGCTGATATGGCTTCATTATTTATATTTCCGAATAATGAAGATTGAGTAGGTGTGTCCAAAGGTTTGGTGGTGCCACAGCAGACTGTGCTGCTGAGGTTTCTTGAGCGTGTGTGTTTAGTGAGTAAGCGGGTGGACGGGGGTCCTGGTTTGTGATGGCCCATCTGCATGTCACCTGGCCGGGGTGCTGGGGAGTGTGGGTAATGACTGGGAAGGAATGGCATCCCTGGGCTTCGGTGGAGGGGTAATTATGGAGTGTAATCCATGCATAAACTGCACATCTGGATCCATCAGGCTGATCCACGGATGGTACAGTGAGCCGAGCACAGATCGGGAACGTCAGTGTCACAGAGCGGAGATGAATATAGACTGGAGTGTGAAAAATACCATTGCCAAAAGAAACTAAAGAGTCTATAGAGTGATGGTGAATGATAGTGACACGCTCAGATCTGATGCCCACCTTTAATTGACTCCTCGATATGTTAGCATGAGTTCATCTTACCTTTTACTGTCCAACAGGGTTTCGTCAGTGTTTCTCTTAAAGTCAACAATACATTTCATTCTTTATTATGCAACCTTTTTCCAAATAAGACTGGTTTTTCAAAAAAGATTTTTATCCATTTTATGTTGATTTTAAGGTGCATTCAGACTTATGGCATAGCTTATACTATACAACTACAATTACTTGACAAAAAAGTATTTATTCATTTATTATCACATTAATTGGACACAAATCCTGATCTATTTAGTTTAATATTATTAATAAATGTGATATAATAAATAAAAATTATATATAGATTATATATAGAAATTACACACACACACACACAGTTTATTAATAATCTAAACACATGAAAAAAATGTATCTAGCCATGTTTTTCATACCGAACATTTACACTTATTGAACAGGCTTTTATTTTTTAGAGTCCACACATTAAATCCTAAGCAAACTCATTTCCTTCATTTAGTCCATTGATTTTTCATCATATTTATGAGGCATGTGCGTCTTTTAGGCTTGGAAAATTTCATTATGTTTTTTATTGGAGTTTTATCGTTGCTCGTAAGGCGCTCCTCTCAACCTCCAATTATGCCTCCTGTGTTTACTGAAACTGTATTCATGGAAATGTGTGTTTGTTTGAGCAGAAACACAGGGCGGCATTATTAGAAGTGAGAACATGAGCAAACACGGCACAAACTGAATCCAGCACGCTGTGGATTGATTGCATAAAAGCAAACAGAGCTGAGAAATTAATTTTAAATACGGAGTAATCTAGTGTACCTCTGTTTCTCGCAGAGATGGAGCAGAAATTAATTTTGATGTCACATTGTGTGCTTTGCTGTTTGAGAGCGCTGATGTTAGCATGCTAATTTGAAACTGTAGCTGGCCAAGCTATAAGATACTCATAGTGTAATTTAATTAAGTAATTAAACTGCACTCTTATATCACTCCAAACCTGTGTTACGTTTGACTATGAAGCACAAAAGGACAGATTTTAAAGAATCATACCAGTCGAGGTTGGATATGCAATTGTAATGAATAAGGACTGGAGCTTTAAGCTTCAAAAATATTGAAAATCGCCGTACATTAGTCATAATAGTAGAATACGCCATTATGCCAGGTCCTTATATTTAATGCATACACTACCATTTACTCAGTAAAAGATTTCTATTTTAAATAAATGCTGTTTTTTTTACTTTCTATTTGTCAAAGAATCCTGAAGAAAATTTATCATGATTTCCAAGAGCTCAACTGTTTTTCAAAAAATAACAAGAAATGTTTCCTCAGCAGCAAATCAGCATATTAGAATGATTTCTGAAGAATCATGTGATGATGCTGAAAATTCAGATTTGATCACAGGAATCAATTCAATTTAAAAAAAATATTCATATAGAAAATTATTGCTGTTTTTCCTGTATTTCTGATCACATAAATGCATCCTTAGTGAGAATAAGATATTTCAAAAACATTTTTTTATTTATTTATCGTCCCTAAATTTAAAGGTATAGTTGACCCCAATAATTCAAATATTTTAGTACTGGGGTCCAAATAACATTCATTGTATAGACAAAAAAAAAACATCTTTTAAAACATATTCTCCATATATTCTTCTAAAAGAAAGAAAGTCATGCAGGTTTGAAGTGACATTAGGGAGAGTAAATGATGACTGAATGTTTATTTTTTGGGTAAACTATTCCTTTAAAGCTCAAACTTTTTGTACCACTACACAGATGAGTTAGTATTCACAACTTCAAGATAGTAAAATGATTTGAATGGACAATTTGTGTAACATAAACTAGTAATAGGGGTTCACATACATACAGTATTGGTGTATCAGAAGCATAGTCTCCATTTTCTCGCTCACATTATACTTATTCAAATGAAAGACTTTTGTAATTAAACCGATAAAGTTTGAACCACCGTGCTTAAAAAAAAAAAAAAACTATTTTTTATAGCCAGCGCTCATGGAGAAGCTCTGACCTTTCGGGTAGCATCTTCAATTATCAAGAACTAAATTAATTTCACCCACTTCTAGCGCCAAAAGCTTTGTACTCATGCCTGAGCATTGTTATTGTTAGCTTTAAACAGTCTTTCAGCTGTGTTTGTCCTTTCAGCCAACTGTAATAGTCCTCCTTCCATGTCTAGCACTCTCCAGTGGCGTTAAGACTGGATTGGCCTCCAAAATGAGGGTCAGAGGTCAGCGTACAGGTTTGCAGTGGAGTGCGCTAGTTGGCGTTCGTGGCTCGCCAGGGCTTTTCCATTTTTCCAGAGCTTAGCCATGCTTCAAAACCCTTCCTCAACGAGCCGCGGGCACCTGGCACCACTTCTCACGTCGCCTCTTCAGCCTGATTACTGCGGTAGAAGAGACCCTCGACGATCGGTCTGCCCCTGCGAGCACAAAGCGCTAACTACCTGTCTGCACGAAAGCAGAAGCGCTTTTCCAAGTCTTCTGAAGACAACAGCTTGACAACGTGCATCAATCTCTTGCTCTGATTGTCAGGTGTAATGCCTTTTTAATTGCACGGGGAAAAGTGAAAATGGCTGCACTAGTGTTTTCTATATGTCAGCCTCTATCAGCGGTGAACAGATGCGGCGTTAGGCCGTTTATTTATTTATTTTGTTGTCGCTGACACAAAACGCCACGCATCGCTCATTGTCTTTCTGTGCTCAGATTGAGCACCATGCTAAAAATGGCTTGAGACAAAGCGTCTCTCCTCGCCGCACGATCTGCTAGCGCTTGCACAAAGACGCAGAGAGACGGGCGGACTGCATAATGCGTTTGTCAGCGGGCCGATGAGTCAGACGGAGAATAAACGGCCATCCGGTTTGACGTTTCACCTGACGCTGTGCTTCTCAGACTTTGAGGTTAGCTTAGCGCAAATTCAAGACAAGTCAAAGGAGCATGATTGGCGAGAGTGAGCTAGAAAAAAGGACCCGTGCTTAGTGAACTATTTTTATAAAACTTGAAATAATAGTCAGTTTATTGAATATGTAGTCACAATATAAAAGAAAATCTACAATAAAAAGTTTGCACATGTGTTTGATACACCAGGCTTTTATGTCTCATATAGTATGGTACTGGAGAATACCCACAAAAACCCACAAATTGAGCTAAAATATGCAATTTGGCAAAATGCTGATGTTTATATGGCCAAAAAGAAAGATGAAATTCTGATTGTAATGTAAATCAATGAGATCTTTATACCTGTATAGCAGACACTTACATTACATGCATATTAATATCAGTTGTCACTGTATATCTCCCAATAATATGTCTATTATTGCAGAAAGATGATATTTAAATGCTTAGTTTTATGATCAAAGCTCTGTGGTTTTAAAACATATAATGCAATGTAATATAATGATGATTGAGAGATGATCAAATAAATGTCCCTCAAAAGCCTGATGATCATATTTGATACTCGCATTTGAAAATGATTTTTCAAAAAATGATGTATGAATAATCAAGCAAACCTAAGTTGCTTCAGTCCAGTAAATGTTCATCTTGAAATATTGCAAACAAAAGAAAAGTTATTCTTACAGTTACTTTATAAAATCAGTGGAGATTTCACAGCAAGGTGGAGCTATAGGTGAATGTTAGTACAATTACACTAAAAGGCCTTTTGCTTGTTAAATAGTGTAAACTATAAATCAGATGACAGAAGGCATGTATTAGATTGTGTACGACAGGTTTTCCAGCAAAATTTTGATCATGCTGATCATTTAGATGCCTTAGAAATTCATATATCAAATATGATACAGTACACTCTAAAAATGCTAGGTTAAATATAACCCAGCGCTGGGTTAAAAAGGGACAAACCCAGCTATTGGGTTGTTTTGACCCAGCGGTTGGGTTGTTTTGACAACAACCCAACCGCTGGGTTATATTTAACCCAGCGTTTTTTAGAGTGTAGGCTTCATAGTTGCTGTTGGTTGCCTGTATATAAACTAAATTACTTTATTAATGCTATTTTGTAAAAGCAACTAGTCAGCTGAGTCTGGTAAAACCATTGGTAAGACTTCATATTGTGCCTTTAATCATGGTAAAATCACTGTAACTCACAGCCTCTTACGGCTTATTGTTTTATTTAGCATTTTAAATCTCAACTCTTTAATATCAGCACTGACTAGTCTTGTTTTATACTTTTACTAGGTACATTCAAGGAGCTTCTTCTCCCAAGGACATGGTCATCCTCGTGGACGTGTAAGTATCCTCTCGAACACACTCTCCATCTGTCTCTCTGTGTGTCTCATATGCACTGCATTAACAAACTGTCATCTGTGTTGATAAATGTGTTGTTTATGATGCCATAACAGCAGTGTGGTGCTCTACTGCCACCTGTCGGCTGAGAAGAACATTATTCCATCTTATTAACCTTGTGCCTCAACATCAAAATGCTACCGTGTTCCTGAAATATGACTTAGAGGTTATATGCAATGAAAAATGACATTACTGTTGCCGATATATGAGCAGCTGGTGGAGAATTTAAAACATCCTGCGATTCTGATCTTATCTGACCTCTAAAATGCATAATCTAAAAAAACGCTTTCGCATCATACATAAACAGATATGTTTACAGATGAATTTATTGAAAGGTATGCATTGCATTTTTTTGAGTTCATAGAATTGTCGTTTTAGCTATAATGAAATGCATGATCATTTTGTTGTTAAATGCCACGTTTAGTGAATCATCGAGACCTTCTTTTGAAATCTTTTATTTATCAAAACCTTAAGTGTTGGGCATTTAGAGTCATTGGTAACACTGCTGCGTAGTTTAACAAATAAGTGATTGCCTCAATCATACAGCCATTATGTGCATAATCGTCAAAAAATCATTAATATTCTTAAGTAAACCTCTCTAAAAAAAACTGCTTAATGGAGGTTAATTGTCACTGGCTGGCAATCCTCCATAACCTTAAATAGATACCGATGTCTAATTAAAAAATACACCAATGGCAGCTGTCGCTTTGCCAAGGCAATCTCATGCCAATCAAAAGCACCATCGCGCTGAATGTTTCTGACAATCTTAGACTAATCTCATTGTGACGACTGGAAGCATGAGACAATAGTGCTGTCACCAGGGTTTTTTTTCACAATGTGCTCGGCTTTATTTATTAAACCTTCTAACTCTGGAAGCCAAATTACACATGAACTCGTGCTCTATGATTGCTTTTTCAATAGCTTCTGTAGGCTATTAATAAATCCAATTTGCAGCATAGAATTCAAATGTACTTTGTTTTTGAAAATCGACTGTCTCCATTCTGTTTGTGAAGATGGCGCTTTTTAATGTGCCGTCTACGATTTACTTTTGATGGACGGAACGGGGGAGACACTTAGCAACAGCTTCTGCTTGACAACCGCAGTTTTGGGCTTGTGTTTCTGTGCAGTGCTGTTTTGAGACATGACTGGTTTGTTAGATAAATGTTGTAATGTTCAGTGTGTGTGATGTATTTGTGTGTTTGTAGGAGCGGTAGTGTCAGTGGACTGACCCTGAAGCTAATGAAAACCTCTGTCATCGAGATGCTGGACACACTTTCTGATGACGACTACGTAAATGTGGCTCGGGTAGGTTTTTTGATTTCTTTTTTAAATAGTATCAACAATATATAACCCCCATATTGTATATGCATTACAATTTTATGTCCATTACTTTTTTTTATCTTATTATAATTATTATAAATAATTATATAAAGTAATTAATATTTAGTAGTTTAATAATTAGTAGTTTATTAATATTTATATAAAATATTAGTATTATATATATATTTAATTTTATATAGCATATATATATATATATATAATATTGTATATATATCATATGGTGGTGCATTTTCTTGTCAAAATAAAAGTTTTTGTTTACATAATATATGTGTGTGTACTGTGTAGGTTTTTATGTATATATAAATACACACACATGCTTATATATATTTTGAAAATATTTACATGTATATTTATATTCATATAATTTATATGATATATAAATATATTTAATATATAAACATAACATATTTTTCTTAAATATATACATGCATGAGTGTATTTATATATAAATAATAAATATACACAGTACATATATTATGTAAACAAAAACTTTTAGTTTGGATGCAATTAATGACGATTAATCATTTGACAGCACTAATTTTAACCCATTTTAACCTGTAATTTCAGAAGGAGGCACTAGCAGTCTCTCTTTATGAAATGAAAAGACCTATTTCAAATCAATATGTTTGGCATTGTTATGTTTAAATCAACACTTTTTTCCATGTAGTTGAATGCTTGAATGAAACATTGACATTGGATGTCATGACAAAATTCCATCCCATGCATTATACAGATGTTACAGAAAGTCATAAATGTGTATTATAATACATAAATATTAGAATTGGATTGCTCTTGTGTTTTGGCAATCGTTAACAGTTGTGTTCTAGGTCCAACTCTTGCAGAAAAAATTATTTGTATAAGTTATACAGTGTCCATGAGATGCAAAGCGTTTGTCCCAGGGGGGCAGTAAAGGAGAGATGGAGCACTAATATTTTTTCTTAGCTTTACTGCACTTAATTTTAATGGATGTGAGAAATGAACTTCCCTTCTCCTACATAATGTATGAGACATGACTGAATCTGGACTGAGATCTACACACCGGAGCCTTACACTAAGATGAATATGCAGTAGTACAGTTGGTGTGTCTGCTGCCAGAAATCTTTAAACCACAGTTGCTTTCTCATTCTATGGATATGAATCTAGCTCTGCTGTTAAATTGCTGTGCAGTGGCATGACAGATCTGTTTTCAGATATGTAGTGATTTGCAAACAACACAAGAAAAGTCTATCAAACTGTATGCTATTTGTTTTACATTTTACATGGTACAACTCTCATATGCTGCATAATGGAACTAGAACTAGGAGACTGTTAATTCAACTACAGGAAATGGAATTCCAGTAATTTCTTGAATATATGGGGATATTTATAGTGCTTGGAATTCAGTAGTGTATTGAATGCATTTTAGGGTGCATTAAACACCGACAATAGCAAAAAGCATTTGCTTCGCTTGAAGAAAGTCACCACATCTGCCCCTTACAACATTAGGAAAATAAGCCCTGTTCTCTAGCCATTTTCTCCTTCTCTCTCTGTCGATCTCTTATTCTCACACACTCTCTTTATCTCCATCATGATCTCCACCTTTTTCTTCACATATCTCTTTTTTAGGTCCATTTATTCTTGTTGAATAGTTCAGTGCACTCTAAAAAATGCTGGGTTAAATATAACCCAGCGCTGGGTTAAAAAGGGACAAACCCAGCTATTGGGTTGTTTTGACCCAGCGGTTGGGTTGTTTTGACAACAACCCAACCGCTGGGTTATATTTAACCCAGCGTTTTTTAGAGTGTAGGCTTCATAGTTGCTGTTGGTTGCCTGTATATAAACTAAATTACTTTATTAATGCTATTTTGTAAAAGCAACTAGTCAGCTGAGTCTGGTAAAACCATTGGTAAGACTTCATATTGTGCCTTTAATCATGGTAAAATCACTGTAACTCACAGCCTCTTACGGCTTATTGTTTTATTTAGCATTTTAAATCTCAACTCTTTAATATCAGCACTGACTAGTCTTGTTTTATACTTTTACTAGGTACATTCAAGGAGCTTCTTCTCCCAAGGACATGGTCATCCTCGTGGACGTGTAAGTATCCTCTCGAACACACTCTCCATCTGTCTCTCTGTGTGTCTCATATGCACTGCATTAACAAACTGTCATCTGTGTTGATAAATGTGTTGTTTATGATGCCATAACAGCAGTGTGGTGCTCTACTGCCACCTGTCGGCTGAGAAGAACATTATTCCATCTTATTAACCTTGTGCCTCAACATCAAAATGCTACCGTGTTCCTGAAATATGACTTAGAGGTTATATGCAATGAAAAATGACATTACTGTTGCCGATATATGAGCAGCTGGTGGAGAATTTAAAACATCCTGCGATTCTGATCTTATCTGACCTCTAAAATGCATAATCTAAAAAAACGCTTTCGCATCATACATAAACAGATATGTTTACAGATGAATTTATTGAAAGGTATGCATTGCATTTTTTTGAGTTCATAGAATTGTCGTTTTAGCTATAATGAAATGCATGATCATTTTGTTGTTAAATGCCACGTTTAGTGAATCATCGAGACCTTCTTTTGAAATCTTTTATTTATCAAAACCTTAAGTGTTGGGCATTTAGAGTCATTGGTAACACTGCTGCGTAGTTTAACAAATAAGTGATTGCCTCAATCATACAGCCATTATGTGCATAATCGTCAAAAAATCATTAATATTCTTAAGTAAACCTCTCTAAAAAAAACTGCTTAATGGAGGTTAATTGTCACTGGCTGGCAATCCTCCATAACCTTAAATAGATACCGATGTCTAATTAAAAAATACACCAATGGCAGCTGTCGCTTTGCCAAGGCAATCTCATGCCAATCAAAAGCACCATCGCGCTGAATGTTTCTGACAATCTTAGACTAATCTCATTGTGACGACTGGAAGCATGAGACAATAGTGCTGTCACCAGGGTTTTTTTTCACAATGTGCTCGGCTTTATTTATTAAACCTTCTAACTCTGGAAGCCAAATTACACATGAACTCGTGCTCTATGATTGCTTTTTCAATAGCTTCTGTAGGCTATTAATAAATCCAATTTGCAGCATAGAATTCAAATGTACTTTGTTTTTGTAGATCGACTGTCTCCGTTCTGTCTGTGAAGATGCTTTTTAAAATGCCGTCTACAATTTACTTTTGATGGATGGGGATGAGGGAGACACTTAGCAACAGGTTCTGCTTGGCAACGGCAGTTATGGGCTTGTGTTGCTGTGCAGTGCTGTTTTGAGACATGACTGGTTTGTTAGATAAATGTTGTAATGTTCAGTGTGTGTGATGTATTTGTGTGTTTGTAGGAGCGGTAGTGTCAGTGGACTGACCCTGAAGCTAATGAAAACCTCTGTCATCGAGATGCTGGACACACTTTCTGATGACGACTACGTAAATGTGGCTCGGGTAGGTTTTTTGATTTCTTTTTTAAATAGTATCAACAATATATAACCCCCATATTGTATATGCATTACAATTTTATGTCCATTACTTTTTTTTATCTTATTATAATTATTATAAATAATTATATAAAGTAATTAATATTTAGTAGTTTAATAATTAGTAGTTTATTAATATTTATATAAAATATTAGTATTATATATATATTTAATTTTATATAGCATATATATATATATATATAATATTGTATATATATCATATGGTGGTGCATTTTCTTGTAATAACCAGATGTTATTTAATTGAAACCATATATTTTCCTCTAATAACGAGATGCTAGGTTGTTAAAAGGACATTTTTCTCATTAAAACATTTTCTCTTAATAACAAGATAAAGTGTCATTAAAACTATATATTTTCTCATAACAACATATCATAAAAATGTTAAATTTTTCTCGAGAGTGTAGTGTAGAGATGCCCGGATGAGCTCAAACTTCACCGGAGTCCACTGCTTCAAATTTATTTAAATTTTGATAGCCGCCCCGACCCCCGTACCCGATCGTCCCAATACACAATGATTCTAATTCTTAGTTTTGCATGATGATATGATGAATGGATGGTTCATTTTTAACAGCAGATTCAGTGGCGTTAGAGCTGATCTGCGGTATATGCATTACAATTTTATGTCCATTACTTTTTTTTATCTTATTATAATTATTATAAATAATTATATAAAGTAATTAATATTTAGTAGTTTAATAATTAGTAGTTTATTAATATTTATATAAAATATTAGTATTATATATATATTTAATTTTATATAGCATATATATATATATATATAATATTGTATATATATCATATGGTGGTGCATTTTCTTGTAATAACCAGATGTTATTTAATTGAAACCATATATTTTCCTCTAATAACGAGATGCTAGGTTGTTAAAAGGACATTTTTCTCATTAAAACATTTTCTCTTAATAACAAGATAAAGTGTCATTAAAACTATATATTTTCTCATAACAACATATCATAAAAATGTTAAATTTTTCTCGAGATATTATATCATTAAAACAGCATATTTTCTTTACTTCGAATAGTAGTGTTTCCTACATTATTGTCGATGGATGGTTGCCAATTTTGACAAGAAAATTAAACTAACTTGTCGTTTTAATGCATCTGCGGCGCATTACGGCTCCACGGCCACCGGAGCTGATCGCGGCCACTCAGTCAATGATTGTGTTTATACCAGCCGCGCCGCGTCCCACAACTCATGCTTATCACATCGGTCAATCACAATTCCTAAGTCAGCATAGTTTGTCAGTACAGTCGGTAACGTAGCACATTGAAAAGTTAGTATCTTTCTGCAGTCCAATAGACGGCAGTGCGGTGGTGGCTTGAGTCTGTTGAATGGTAATTTTACTCTACGTTGTCACCTAGTTGGAGAGACTCAATGCTAAAGTCAATAAACAATGTCCCCATCTCTTACTCTCACAATGAGCTTATCATACTCATTTGCTACATTAGTAGGGCCCTATGATTTCCGCGATGTGGCAAACGCAGACGGAATCGCGGAATCCATTCATAAAAACAGAATTACTATATAACGCGGAATATCATGAAATTTGTCATATTTTTGATGAATAAATAAAAAACAGGTCAGTACATTTAAATCAAATCGCGATACAGACTAGTGTCTGTGAATATTAAACTGCAAAAAGACTATTTAAATACGAATACTCATGTTCTGCATGTTCATTTGATTACCAGAAAATTCACACAGAATTTGTGAAACAAATATATACTATTCATTATTATTATTTATTCATTTTAAATGTTTAATTTGGGAAAAGCTGTGCTTCCTGCATAAACCTGCCCCTGTTGGATTGGCAGCTTGTTTGCCCTACACAGTTACCTTGTTTATTTTCTTAATTCAAGTTATATATATATATATATAGAGAGAGAGAGAGAGAGTGAGAGTTCTATTTGTGTTTTAAAGTTATTTATAATATAAAGTGAAGTGAAGTTTACTGTTAAGTGCACTGATGTCAGACTCATTTTGGATAATAAAGTTTATTGTTAAATTGTTAAATACCCTGCTTCCATTACATATGTTTGTCACATCATTATAAGCGTTTGATCACCACATTTGTGTTATCATTGCATAAAATGTGTTTATTTATATATATTCTGGTTATGTCAAAAGTTTGGGAATGGGAAGTGTGTCCAAACTTTTGACTGGTACTGTACTATAAAATACACATAAAGAATATCGTCCGATATATCTTTTTTTACTCCCTAATATTGGTATCGGCCCTCAAAAAACCCATATCGGTCGTTCTCTTGTATATATATATATATATATATATATATCTCGCTTGAGTGAGAATATGCTGTTATTGATAGTGATTACACTTGAGACAACACCAGCATTAATATTCAGTTGTGTGAATCCTCCAGGAATCTGAACCTGTATGAAAATGTACATGCAGAAAATGTAACATTTAATCTAAAGAGGGTTGATTTATTGTGATCACACAACAGCAGCCCACAAACGCAACCCACACAAGTATGCATGTACATATACACAGACGCACACACATAATGAAACATTAGCGTTTTGGAAGGCCCATGCCAGGAATCCGGACTGATCCGGGGCTCTTAGTGTGTGTTTCCTAATCCCGGCTCTGAGAGCGCAAAATGAGCATCATAATCTGAGCCGGAACACAGCTCATTCTACAGCCCGCTGGTCTTAGACCACATTATAATCACTATGTGTGTTTACTGCTGTTTAGCTCCAGATGCCTAGAGTAACGTGAAATCAAAATGGACCCTTTTGGCTTTTTTTAAAGCGCCATTTCAGCCAAAAATTACAATTTAGTTTGCGTTACGCACCCTCGTTTCCTTGTGAGACACAAAAAGAGCGATTCAAACTGTGCTGGTTACTCCTTTCCATTAAATTGCAATAGCAGTAGCTTCAAAAATACACCATAAAAGTAGTCCATAAAAGATTTGTGTGCACAGACTGCAATATAAGTCATTTTTTGCTGATAATCTTCCCTACAGTGAGCTGCGGAATCAGTGAGTCAGTGAGTTGAACTCAAGAACCGAATCAGTCCGACTCCAAAGAATGATTCGTTCATGAGTCTGGGATTGGTACATTTCTCTCATGAAGACTCAATTTGCTCTCCCTTTAATCTTTTCCCTGTCAAGGAAGAGTAAAAGAGATCTCAAAGGGAATTTTCTTTCCTATAGGCAGTTTTAGGAAACATTTCTCGTTTCATTTTTGTTTGCATTGGCATTTTCTTTCCTCCGCACCTGCGGTGTGGAACCTTGTTATCAAGACTGCCGGATGTACCTCAGATTTTCACAGCTATGCTTCCTCACACACACACACACACATAAATGCTTTATGCTGAGTTCTGTGCAGTCAGTAAGTAAAGCTGTACTGATGTGAACGGTATTTATGGAAGCTTGTTTCCGCCATGGGATAAAAAAAATTAAAAAAGTTAATTGCAACTTTTTAATCTCACAATTCAGACATTTTTCTCGCAACTCTTGAGTTTATGTCTCACAATTCTGACCTGTTCACAATTTAGAGAAAAAAAGTCAGAATTTTGAGATATAAAGTCAGAACTGTAAGAAAAAAGTCAGAAAAAAAAATCTAAGTTATTTTATTTTTTATCCTATGGTAGAAACAAGCTTTCATAGGTTTAAGCTGTGTGTCAAAAAAAAATCAGTTGTGCTAGTGTAAGGATTCAACGGTAGCACATAACAACATGCAAGATCTGTGCTGTTTCTTAATCAGTATTTTTTTTTAATAGTACAAATACCTAAACATCCCTAAAACAAGACCAGGTTATTCGAGAAGCAAAAATGCATGATATTAACACTTTTTTTGGCAAGCTGAGTTTAAAAAATAGTGAGATCTGTTTAAAACAATAATTATAAAATAAAACAATAAATAAATTTAAAATGAAACTATTAGAAAAATAAACATAATTAAATATATATACGCATATCTTATACAACTTTGCCACTCAAGGAAGAAGAATCATATTTTAAGGATGTTTATATATTTTTTCCTGGAAGACAAGACAGATATATTTATCTCTGTATGTTTTTAGTGGAGAAGTGGGCTATTACTTGACAGACGATAATATGGGCGAGAAAACTAGTAACCACCCAGAACACCCTAGAAACCACATAGCAACACCTTGTCAACCGCTCATGACACGGACGGCAGTGTGCTTTGCATGGACTCATATGTAAAGATGTTCTGCATTGAGCACTATTAAAGCATCCAGATGATTAGTGTTGTGAAATAGATTTGAAATAGATTTCAAGTTTCATACGAGTTGATTCATCTGCAGTGGAAGCAAATTATGAATTGTGAGAGAAATCAATCAGGTGTAAGTGACTCCATTAGCGAGTGTTAACAGCAGAAATGATGATGCTGTGAGATCTAATGGAGATGAATAATGAAGCTTTTAATGGATTGCTGAAGCAGCTGCTGTCTGTCTCTCTGTCAGTTCAATGAGAAAGCGTACGCCGTGGTGCCGTGCTTCACAACGCTGGTCCAAGCCAACATAAAAAACAAGAAGATCTTCAAAGAGGCTGTGATGAACATGCAAGCGAAGGGGACGACAGACTACAAGACCGGCTTTCAGTTTGCCTTTGACCAGCTGTTAAACGTAAGACTCACACACTCATGTTTACCTACTGTAGTTATCTACATGAAGATACACTGGAATTTTGTATTCAAGTCTTTAAATAAAGTTAATAATAATGACTACAGACTAGCCCTAACCTACAGAAGTCCTAAGAGGTCATGAATTATTTGTTCTGTTTATTTTCTTGTGATGTTAAATTAATTATCTTTAATTTGAAGTGCTCGATCACCGACTGACAAGTAAGTATACATGCACTACTGTCAAAAGTTTGGGGTTGGTGCAATTTTTTTATGTTGTTAAAAGAAGTCTCTTTTGCTCACCAAGGCTGCATTTATTTGATCAAAAATATAGTAAAAACAGTAATATTGTGAAATATTATTACAATTTAAAATAACTGGTTTTTATTTGAAAATATATTTTAAATGTAATTTATTCCTGTGATGCAAAGTTGAATTTTGATACATTTTCTTAACAATTTTTTGATGAATAGTTCAAAAGAACGTCATTTGTTTGAAATGGAAATCTTTTATAATATTATAAATATCTTTACTGCCACTTTTGATCAACTTAATGCATCCTTGCTGAATAAAATTGCTCATGTCTTTCCAAACATTTTGAAATTATGAACTCCAGAAATAGATAGACTGAGAAATAAATGAGAAAATAGTTTAGTCTCAATCTCGAGAAAGCAACTCTTTTTTTTTTACAGTCTTAGGGCTTGCATACTAACTCAAATGTTAACTAAAACTATAGATATATATTTTTAGAATATAAAAAACATGATTTACTTCAGCTATGAATCATTTTACCTTTGAGAAGATCCCTGGATGTTCCCAAAGAGAGTTTTTTTTTTTTTTTTTTGCTAGATTTAGCTGGATTTGGCTTAGTTACATTTGTTAATGCCAAAACATCTTCTTACCAACTCGGCGGAAAATTGTATTGCTCAGATGTTGCTTTTTCAAAGCATTCAGAGATTTAACAGAGTTCTCAGTTATATTTAATTTAAGTGTCAGCTTTTTCTCATATTTCTGAGCAATAAAATCAGACAAATGAGTCAATAGTGGACATTCAGTAAGCCTTAAAGGCCCTGTTTACACTTGGTCTTAAGATGCGTTTTGGTCGATCGGATCACAAGTGGACAATGGAGACACATGCCCGTTTACACCTGGCATTTTATTCTGTCTCTTCTGTCCACTTTCGACCACTTCTGACCAGATTACCCCACGTGGTGCCGATTACGTCAAGAGAAGGATAAATGGGCGGATCCCTCTGTCGGCGTCAAAACATGAGTGGGAGGGATAAAGTTATCGCGCACTAATATTACATCTGCTTGTACTTACTGCTACTTACAACGTCTCTTGTCCCAAAATGCAAGATGATTTTAAATATAATGAGGTGCTTAACTGGGTCAGAGTGGGGCGCTAGCAGAAGAGCCTTATAGAGATGTATATGTTGCTTTAATAAGACCAGTGATAGAATATGGAAGTATAGTGTATAGATCAGCATTGAAAACATCATTAAAGATACTAGAAGTTATACAAAATTAGTGCTGTCAAACGATTAATCGCGATTAATCACATCCAAAATAAAAGTTTTTGTTTACATATTATATGTATGTGTACTGTGTATTTATTATGTATATATAAATACACACACATACAGTATATATTTTGAAAATATTTACACGTATATACATTTATATATTTATATTCTTATATTTTATATTATATATACATATATTTAATATATAAACATAACATATTTTTCTTAAATATATACATGCATGTGTTTGTATTTATATATACATAATAAATATACACAGTATACACATATTATGTAAACAAAACTTTTATTTTGGATGTGATTAATCGCGATTAATCGTTTGACAGCACTATACAGCACTATCTTAATGGGATTACAGTGGGTAGAACAAAATAAAATTATCAAGGTTGTAATTTGTTCAGATAGCTTATCAACATTGATGTCTCTACAGTCTTTATAATCTTATAACAGACCTGATATTGTTTATGAAATATATGAAACTTTGTTCAGACTTCAGCATATAAAAACAGAAATCAGATTTATGTGGATTCCAGCTCATTGGGGGATTGAGGGGAATGAAGCCGCAGACGCGTTGGCTAAGCAAGCTTTGAAACATGATAGAATTATGGAAGTAGCTTTTAGTAATGCTGAAAGTAAAGCAAAAATAAGGAATAATATTATGAAGGCCTGTCAAAAACAATGGGATGAAGGGAAGAAAGGACGTCATTTATACAATATTACGCAAGAAGTAGGGAGAATGAAATCAACAGGAAGATATACAAGAGAACATATCATTATTTTGAGGTTGAGATTGGGGCATTCTGGATTGAATAAAACAATGCATTTATTGAAAAAGCATCCATCAGGTATGTGTGATTGTGGAATGGAAGAAGAATCAGCGGAACATGTGATTAGTCAAGGTGTCAAATACGAAACTCAAAGGATACAATTAAAAGATGAATTAAAGAAGTATGGGGTGAACATATTAAATCTTAAAAATCTATTTAAAGTTGAAGATCAGATACATGAAGCTTTGTTTAATTTTTTGAAAGAAACTGGTTTAATGAAAAGAATTTTACCTGCTAGGGTTTTTTTTTTTTTGTCCTCTAAGAAGTATACATTTCTGGCCCACACTCCAGCACAGTAGGTGGCGGATATGCACCTTAAATGTTAGTTGCCACCCGCCATTAAAAAAGACGAGGAAGAAGTAAGCGGTCTTTTGTGGCTGCTCGAACGCATTCGACCACATACGTTTTCGACTATCTCTGGAAGTGGTCAAAAGTGGACAAGCTCAAAACGTTTTAGACCCCGTTTACATCTGTATTTAGCGTTGTCCACTTGTGATCCGATCGACCAAAACGCATTTTAATACCAAGTGTAAACAGGGCCAAAATGATCTTGCTGAGGAGAAATGTTTGAGAACAGAAGAAATATAGCCATGCAGAAGTGTGTTAATGGTGTGTACAATGTTGTGAGATTTGTTGTTGGCCACATGTGTGGCTTCATCACATGCATTTTAGTTTTGGCCGACTGCTGCTCGAACAGATCGTGATGGTGTGATTGATGAGATACAGACGAATCTGTATTCTCTTCCGACCGAAGACGCTCGTTCTTTCTGACTTCCTCTTTCACTGTCGCTCTCAGATCCGCAAGCGCCAAGGCATTTTAATTTCTGCCCGCTGACTCCTGATAGGCTGAGAAGAGAGCGCTGTAAATTTGTAATTGTGGCAGTATTATTTATCTTTATTAGAATCTTGTCAGAGTGATGTGGCGTAGGCCGAATGTCAATGACAGCTGTGATTGGACGGGGTAGGGAGAGGGGACTTTTGGCTAACTCATCAGAGATAGGACAGTCGGCGGCAGCTGGCACAAAAGCAGACGTATGATTAGAGGAACAGACGTGCCCGCACACACACACACGCACGCTTAAGTGCTCGGACACGGACACATGTGCGGTGCTCTGCCAAATGGGACACTGTTATAGCCAAGGTCATTTGTGTAGTGAATTGATTCAAGCAGGCCTGAAACGAATTCTGTGCAAATATGTCAGTGCAAACACTTCATACACAGATTGGCCACAAACACACTGTGGCTAAATTTGGTTGTCAGTTCACCTTTTAGCGCTTTTAAGGTGCGGTATATAATATTGACAGCTAGCAGTTAAAACGAGTACTGTGGTCCAAATTCAAAATATTGGAGAGAGTTGTTTCTCCAGCCTTCACCTCCTCAGTCTCAACACTCATGCGGGTTGCCAGATTGAGGACACACAACAGGAATAAGCACAAGTGACAATAGGAGTCGACAATCTTTAGACTGTAAACTGATGAGTTGATTTATCCACAATTGAATATGCCTCTGATCGGTCATAGAGCTTTTTAGATGGATGCCGGAGCTTTTTATGGTAGAATCGTGATCTCTGATCCAGTCCGTTTTTTGGCTTCCACGACTGCAATGTGCTGTGTTTTCCTCCAACTGGCCACCTGGGGTGTCAAAACCCTATTGGGTAAATTGGCAGTAGGCGGAGTCGCACAGTGACATTCCGACACGGAACGCACATTTCAAAACAAAACAACAGTCTGTAGCATGAAACAAGTATGTGAACTTAGCATGTTTTCTAAATATCTGCAAATGTATTATGGTATTTTTATGATTTAGTACAGTCAAAAAATTACATACAGCACCTTTAATCCTGTTCTGTATACACACTGTTCAGTAATATACAGGAGTGACAATTCCAAACAAATTGACTACCAGTAATAACAATCGCATTTACAGATATTCTACGCAGTGTGTACGGAACTGAACTAAATAGCTAGTTTTTAAATGATGTATTTAAATATCTATCAGAGTTTTTTTTTCTTTCTGTATGTGCGGTGCAAGAAATCACGAGTACGTTTTGACTCATTAGTGTTGCCAGATCTGGCTAAAAAAACAGAAGAACAAGCCAATAATAAACTCAAATCCAAATGCATTATCTTGGAAATTAGTCACATGCCAAAATATAGCGAACTGCACCTGCCTATTAATCAATAAACTGGATCGCTTTATGAGCCAAGCCCAAAGACACATAATAAGCATCGCTTATAATAAGTGGACATGGCAACCCTTCAAGAATGCGCTCTGCAAAGCAGACTTCACGAAACATCATGGCTCTATCGACGGTGGTTTAGTTATCATGTGTAAATCATCACAGTTTCAGGAGTGACTGTTATATGCACACAAAACAATAATTTAGAGGATTCACTCCTGTATTTAAATGTGATTGTCACTTTACAGTGTGTATGTGGCCATTATTATTATTAAATGACACATTGCAAGGATAGTGTAAAGCACAAGGGTTTTCACAAACAAAAGCATCTGTTTATAAAGGCAGATCCAGTGAGTTTCAAACTGACCTGGCTCATTTGACACCCTCCAAACGAATCGTATGCATTCCTGTTTCTGTTTCTCACAGGAGACCAGTGCTCCGAGAGCAAACTGCAATAAGATGATAATGATGTTCACAGACGGTGGCGAGGACCGCGCTCAAGACATCTTTGAGAAATACAACTGGCCAAACAAAACAGTGAGTCGAGGCGATTTAATTCAAAACATGCCGGTGTTTCCATCTGTGTGGTAATGACCTCCAGTGACAAGATTTTCTGTCCTCCCTAAAACTGAAAATAGCACGTGACAACAAAATCACAGTCAATCAGAATATTTTGACGTTTGTAGCTGTGTGGAGCATGATTTCAGACCAAAGAGATAACATCATAAATCTGATGTCATTCCAATATAAAACTTACATTCTAGCACAAAAAAAACATGTTTGAAATGATAAAACAATACATATGCTGTTAAATGAGGGTCCAAATGCTTTAAGGGACTACTCTGTATTTTTAGACCCTTTTGCTACACAGATCTAATAAACCGTCTTCTCTCCACAGGTGAGAGTTTTCACGTTCTCAGTGGGGCAGCACAACTATGACGTCACTCCTCTGCAGTGGATCGCCTGTGCCAACAAGGGTAAGAGAGTGAGAATGTAGATTTGGTTCAAAAATCTGAACTTTTCAGCTGTTCAACTGCATCTGTACTTCTGTACACCTGTGTTAGGCACAATTTGAAGTATCATGGCAGGAACACAATGCAACAGCCTAGAAACTGCATATCAGTGTTCTAAAAATGTAAAGAACACCTCTGCAAGCACATTTCAAACATCATAGCAACTTGCTAAAAAAAAAAAAACTCAGCCCAACTTAAGTGCATCGCAACACCCTAGAAACCACATAGCAATGTGTTTAAAATGTTAAGTAGACTTTGGCAAACACATAGTAACACACTAGCAACCATCCACAATACTCTAGCTACAGTGGCTAATCTTTAAAACTTCCTTTAGCCCCTTGAGGTTAGCTGGGGGGAGTTTCCCGATACATATGTCCATCAAGCACGCACTGAGATGCGGTTGTAACAACAAAAAATCATGGTTTATTAATTGCAATCTTCGGTTTACTTTCCAAAAAATACTAACTTCCAAGAACGTGAAAATGCAGTACCATGTGATTGAAGAAACTGTTGCTCTCCACCGTCTAACCTCATCCTGCCAAACGATACTAATGGACTATTATGATTATGACAAGTTAGCCCAATGATCAAACATTAAACATAAAATTTCCTCATATACTTAAATTAGAATGTTTGAAATACAAAATAAATAAATTAGACTTTAAATATGGAAATTAAAGAAATTCAATATGGCTCCTACACTAGCAACCAGCCAAAACATTGTGGCGGCAAACATCACTCATATTTTCACAGTTACTTTTACAGTTACTTTTAGTAGTGGCTGTTGTACAATGACTCAGAATGTGGCTTGTCCAATCAGATTTTAAAGAAATAGTTCACCCAAAAATAAAAATGTGCTGTTAATTTCTTCACCCTCAGGCCATCCAAGATGTTAGTGACTTTTTTTTTCTTCAATAGAACAGTGAAGAGGATTTTTAGCTGAAACAGTGGTCCATTTTTGAGAATAAAAAAAGCATAGCAAGAAACACAAAATTAATACCCGTGGCTCCTAACGATATACAGTATTGTGGTCTTATGAAGTGATACGATTGGTCTGTGCAAGAAACTGAACATTATTTACAACATTACAAATGGTCCGGAGTGATGCCGGTTCACAAAAGAATCATTCTTTTGAACTTATTCCTTTTTTAGTGAACTAGTTGAATCAGTTCACCAAATTGGACTGAACCGTCTGAAACAGCTGGAGCAGCACAGATCTACAAGTTACTCCATCAAAACTCACATTTGGACTTGTCTGGCAGTCGCTCCAACTCGAAATGAGCCAAAATAGTGGCATATCTGATCCTATGATGAATGAACTCTTTCAGCGCTCCAGTTCCTCCAACAGTCACTGAACTGAGGAAATGGTTCGACTCAGACTGAAGACCATGATATGCGCGAAATTAACATTTTTATAGTTTCTCGTGGTTTATGTAAAATGGTGAACTGATGAAGACTAGTTTATTCACTTCAAGCATGTAAAACATCCACATTTCGCATCATTATTATGTGCTTTAATAATTACGTATACATTTTGTCATTGCGTGATTACGTAAACAAACTAGTGAATTGAACCAGTTCATTGAAAAAAAACTGTCTGAATGAACCAGTTTGCAGAAAATAATCAGATTTCTCCATTGTCTGAGGCTCTGGATTACAGGTAATAATGTTATTAATAATGTTCAGTTTCTTGCACAGACCAATCGTTTCGCTTCATAAGACCGCAATATATCGTCAGGAGCCACGGGTATTATTGTGTGTTCCTTGATATGTTTTTAGCACAGCCGCTGACTTGCATTTTATGAATCACCAATAACCAAGGTTTCAGCTAAAAATCTTCTTTTACTGTTCTACTCGAGAAAAAAAGTCACTTAAATCTCGGATGGCCCGAGGGTGAGTAAATTAACAGCAAATTTTCTTTTTGGGGTGAACTATCCCTTTGAAGCCAAAACAGTCCATTTTCTAAACGCATCCTGGTCAACAGCGCTCAAGTAATGTTGACCTATCTGACCTAACAAGTTAATTCCAGGTCTGTAGCGCAAACACTCTCCCTCTCCAGCTCTCTGATTAGTTAATGACGAACGGTGGCAGAACACTTCAGAGACCCCCACCGCCCTCCCTTCCTTCTAATTAATTAGCCGATGAGGAACTGCCGTCACAGCGATAACCACGTCTGCAACTTCTCGGCGTCTTCAGCCAAAAGTGCTTCCACTTAAGGATTAGCCCTCTGTGCGCCCGTGTTCAACGCTGTAATGACTGGCAGTGAGGGGACGGAGTCTGGCACATCAAGCAAGACGCTTTTCTCAGCGGACTCCATCTCCACCGCAGGCTTTCATTTCGCTCACCGATATCACAAAGCAGCAGAAGAACGCCCCTGACACCCTCACAAAGTCCACATCCACGTCCGCGGCTCTCCCTGTGCTGTAGAATGCGTGTTCGACAGCGTATCTGACTGAAAGCATTCGCAGCCGCCGCTAGGTTCGTTCAAAAAGCAACGGTAGCGTGCATACGCCACGTTTCCTCTGAACATACGCAGAGCGCTCTTTGACAGGCTTGTTAAGATGCGGATTGCATCGGATTGTCTGCGTCTTATTGTTTTGTTGTACATGTCGCCCGTGCGGCGGAGACAAATGGATTCAGCGTTTTGTAATCATGACCAAGTCAAGGGATCAACAATGAGAGACATGTTTGTTTGACACGGCTTAGCGTGTGTTGTCACTCCACCGGCTGTCTCTCAGCGAGCTCGTTCACACTCCGCTGACACAAACAGAGTCTCGTATGGCCGCCGCTGAATCAGAGCCAATTCCTGGTCTCTTTGATTCCCAGCGACTCGCATTGATTTGATTAGATTCTTTCTAGCGTGCTGATTGGTTTGACCCTCAGACATCTTCTGAACACTTTTTTTTTTAGTTTTAGTTTTTATACTCATTCTCTTGACTTTGATACGCTTTTAAAGACTTTAAAATTATTTCTGATTCATTAACTGAACTAGATTTGACTTCCTTATCTGCAGTCGTTTTAGGGGTCGTCGCCTTCTTAAAGAGATGTTACGGGTTCAACACCCATTAAGCTTTATCTAATCCAACATTTGGGACATGATGGCAGTTACCACAGAAAATCATTTTGATTCATCCCTTTGTTTTAGGGGCCAGTTTGAGTATAAACCTATTAAAACAGTAGAAAACTATATTTTGTTTGAAAAGTGAGAGGAAGGGAAAAAATGTTTTTAAAAAGGGAAAAAATTGAATGTGTTGTAAATAATTGTTATATGTACACTGTATTTATGAATGAATATTTTGTCAAAGAAAAATTTATATCTATTAATATATTTTCAGTTTTGACCACTTTTTTCAAAATTTTTCATATGCTTAAATAGTACTATTAGTACTATAGTATTATAATACTATTTGCACATAGTAATTTTTTTAAATGATAAAAATGTTATGTTCACGTAATTGTGATATTGTGTGGGGGGGAAAAAACTAATTAACATTATTTGTAAAAAAAAAAAAAAATTTATTATTTATTTATTTGTCCCTCGGATTTAGGGGACATTATTGACCCATTAAAACAGTATTACCAAAAAAGTATATTTTGTTTGAAACAGTTCGATTTAGAGAAATGAAACAAAAATGTTTTATTAAATTCATTTTTATTACATTTTAGTACATTTATTTTAAATGTATTAAATGACTATTTATTAAATATTTAATACATATTTGTTAATGTGTACAAAGTATTTATTTATCAATGAATATTTATTAAAGGAAAATAATAGTTATAAAAAAATAATAATACATTTCTGTTTTGACAAAACATCTAACCATAGTGTATATATATATA